ATATTCTGCCCAAAGCATCCTTGATTATAGCAACTCGAGGTTTGAATTTGTTCTTCAGTTCCTTGAGCTTAAGAAATGCTGAGTGAGTTCAGCCCTTTTGATTTTCTGTCTCCAGTTCCTTGCACATTTCATTGTAATATTTTAATTTGTCATCCCGTGCTGCCTTTTGAAATCTTCTATTCAACTCTTTAATGTTGAATTCTTCCTTCTGCTTTGGCTTCTCTGAGCTCCAGTGCAGTTTTCAGAATCTCTTCTGACATCCATTTTGGTCTTCTCTTCCTCTCCCGTCTTTGCAATGACCGTTTGCACTCTTCCTGGATGATACCCTTGATAATCCTCCCACAGCTCATCTGGTCTTTGTTCATTAGTGTGGGTTTTTTTTTTCATTCAGTAGTTTTCAAGGCCTCAAACCTGTTCCTGACATGATTCTGAAATTCAGGTGGGATAGACTCAAAGTCATATTTTGGTTCATGTGGACGTGGTTTACTTTTCCTCAGCTTCAGCTTGAACGTGCATATGAGTAGTTGGTGGTCTGTTCCACAATCAGCTCTTCTTGGCCTAGTTTTCACAGCTGATATTGAGCTTCTCCAGCGGTTCTTTCTGCAGATGTAATCGATCTGATTCCTATGCATACCATCAGGTGAAATCCATGTATATAACCTGCATGTATGTCTCTTAAAAAACGTATTTGCAATGAATAAATCATTGATTGTGCAAAATTCAGTCATCCTCTCTCCAGCTACATTTCTGTCACCGAGTCCATGTTTTCCAACTACTGAATCTTCTCTGTTCCCAGCTTTTGCATTCCAGTTACCCATTATTATCAATGCATCTTGACTGCATGTTCGATCAATCTCCGACTGTAAGAGTTGGTAAAAATCTTCTATCTCCTCGTCCTTGGCTCTGGTTGTTGGTGCATGTATCTGAATGATAGTGGTATTCACTGGCCTTCCTTTTATGTGTATGGATATTATCCTGTCACTGACAATATTGTACTTCAAGATGGATCTAGCAGTGGTTTTCTTAACTATGAAAGCAACTCCATTTTTCCTCACCTTTTCTTCTTCAGAGTAATATAGCATATGATCATCTGACTCAAAATGCCCCATGTCAGTCCATCTCAACTCCCCAATGCCTAGTATGTCAATACTTATGCGTTCCATTTCTTCCTTAACAATATCTAATTTTCCTACATTGATGGTTCTCACACTCCATGTTCCAATCACTAGTGTCTGCTTACAACTGTTCCTCTTCCTTTGTATTTCCATACTTGAAAGCTCCACCTCAGTTGCCCTTTCTGTTATTCTA